TCTTCTAGCTAACTTAACCTATATAATAACATATTATTATTAGTTATAGTCACCCTACTTTGTGTAATATAACACAAAAAATTATTCTTTCTGTTATTTTTAAATTTTTTTAAATTTTTTTTTTTTTTTTTTTTGAGACAGAGTCTCGCTCTGTTACCCAGGTGGGAGTGCAGTTGCACAATCTGCTCACTACAACCTCTGCCTTCAGGGTTCAAGCAATTCGTGTGTCTCAGCCTCCCATGTAGCCGGGATTACAGGCACTCGCCACCATGACTGGCTAATTTTTGCATTTTTTGTAGAGACAAGGTTTCACCATGTTGGCCAGGCTGGTCTCGAACTCCTGGCCTCAGGTGATCCACCTGCCTCTGTCTCCCTCCCAAAGTGCTAGGATTACATGTGTGAGTCACCATGTCCTGCCTATTCTTTCTTTTAAATGATAATGTTGCATTCATTGGCAAACCTGTTCTCATCTCTTCCTCCCCACATCCTTTCCAGCCTCTGGTAACCACCATTTTACTCTACTTCCATGAGATCAGCTTTAAATTTTACATAAAAATGATATCATGTGGTGTTTGTCTTTCTATGCTTGGCATATTTTACTTAACATAATGTCCTCCACATATATCCATGTTGCTGTGAATGACAGATTATTATGTTTTAGAAAAAACAGTATGTAGATTCTTCCAAAAATTAAAAATAGAACTACCCTATGATTCAGCAATTTCAATACTGGGTATATATCAAAAGGAAATAAAATCAGTATGTCAAGGAGGCAACATTAATTACTACCATGTTTATTGCAGTACTAATCCTAATAGCCAGACTATCACTTTACTTAAGAATGCTTTAATCTCTTTTTGATATATTACACTTCTAAACTTTTAAAGGATTTAAAGGTTTTCAGTTTTAGAAGCTATTTAATCACCAATTCTTTAAATATTTCATTTTTCATATAGTCTAGTAAAGCAATTAGATGTTCATTTCTTCTCAATCCAATCTTCATATATGTATAAATATATTTCATTCTCTATTAATTTGCCTCCTGTAAAATATGTAACTACATCAATTTTGCTTAGTATTCTATTTTATTGGCCTCTTGTCAGCTCAGTGTATTTTAATATGTAACCCATACGTTGTACATTACACTGCTTCACCACATTTGTAATAGCTTACTTTCAATTTGCTTTTTTTTCAGATATGACTTGAGAAGCTTATAGTTTTTTTTTTCATTGCCCATTACTTTGGTTTTCTGTTTTTCCATTGTATTGAAAAATATTTAAACATAAGTCAAATATCTGATGTTTATGTACCATACAATTTCTTTTGACCCTTCGTCTTGGTAGTTTATATATTAGTGTGCAAGTTATATATTAGTGTGCAACATAATATATAACTTAGTTTTCACATATGGAAGATATCATACTTGGAATGTCTCCAGTCTGTGTGTTTCTTTGCTGATTCCATTTGCCTTGTTGGAAGTTGAACGCACATGAATCTGACATTCTTGTGATTAGTTCTGTCTGAATAGAGCATGTGCTTCTTAAATTGACTACTCCTCTGGATTATTCCTTTTATTTACTCCTGGTCCTGGGAATTTCTCATATTTTTCTTCAACTATATTTAGCATAATATGGATTGTTTTAACTTCTCGACAATTTTAATTATCTGTATTAAATGTTTAAAATATATATTATTTTCCTGAAAAGCATAAATAGCAACAGTTGCATACATTAGTAAAATATGTCTCATAGATTGTCTATGACATAAAATATCATCTCGTGCAAAATCTCAAGGTTTTTCGTGTAGAAGACCTCCTTCCCAATACATCACATTGTAATAATTTGTGAAGTGTGATTATTTTTACTACTATGTATGTATTACATATGTATTATGCACAAATTTCAGAAACACTCCAATGAATATATAGCCAGAATTACTGTTTTATATAATATAAAGTTAATATGGGTTAAAGCATTTACCTTAATTCAGATTTTTTCTACAATTACCATTCTCTCTCGTTAGCACTTTCCTGATATCAAAAACATAATATGGATTTAGATTTTTTATTTAATCCAGAAGATGTTGAAAATGGTTCTAAATGGAGTTTACATGTGGCCAGATAATACTTGTTAATTACCTTTAACTTTTTTTTTTTACATTTATCGATATATAAAATAAACTAAAAGTGTATATATTTAGGATTTAGAATATGATGTTTTGAGACATGTACACATTTTTTAATTACCTCGGTTAAGCTAGTTAACGTATTTATCACTTTCCATACTTTATGTGTTTGCATGTGAGTGGGTATGGTGAGATTACTTGAGATTTGATTTTGAAAAAGTTTGAAGTATACAGTATTATTAACTATTGTCACCAGTCTATATGTTACCTTCTCAGCATTTATTTTATAGCTGAAAGTATGTATATTTTGACTGATACCCTGTCATTTCCTGCCACATCCTGGCCTGTAATAATTATTATTCTTCTTTTCCTATGACTCTGAGTTTTTAAAGATTTCACATAAATACTTGTTTTTTTGTATCTGGCTTATTTCACTTAGCATAATGTCTTCATGGTTCTTCAATGTTGCTGAAAAAGGCAGAATTTTCATCTTATTAAAGATAAATTACATATACATATATATTTATTATAGTTTCTTTACATATTCATCTATATATGCTAAGTAGTAACCTCTCTATCAAGTTATTTTCTCTATATTATCATTCAAATATAATATTGTTTTGCATTTACTATTATTAAAATTAATTTCCTGTCTTTAAAAAATTTTCATAAAGTTTATGGGGTCAATTCAATCTGCCCTCTTGATAAAAGCCAAAGTTATATGTCAGTTTTACTAATTTGGATTAGATTGAGATTTTTATTGCCTCAAATAATAAATATAAGCATTAAGGATAAAAATATAATTATATTCTTCATCTTACAACAAAGAAAACTTTGGGTTATTTATTGGACAAAAGACTTACTCTATATTATTATTTCTATTTTTGTGTCACCTAAACATTTATTACACATAGAATACCACAAAATAGGAATAAATAAATTGGTAGTCACAAATTATGAAAGTAAAATTAAGAAATAAGATATACTTCCCAGAGACTGTTTGTAACAAAAATAAATGAAATATGTTTTAGGTGATGCATATTCTAATTCCTCTGATTTGATTATTATATATTATATGCTTGTATCAAACTATCACATGTACTACATAAAGATGTGCCACTATTATGTGTCTGTAACAATTAAAAATAAAAAAAGTCTATATGAATATATATGTATATATAAATAATCACGTAACAAGTAAAGTATTAATTAAAATATTTCCACAAAGAAAAGTTTAGGGCCTGACATCTTATGTGTCAAATTCAATGAATATTTAATAAATAATATCAATTGTTTAAAAAAACTTTCAAAAATTGAAAAGAAATTTATACTTTCTAACACACAACATTAGAACTATTATACAATAAAATAAAGTATACAACAAAAATAAAAAAAGTTCTCCAGATTGAAAAATAACAAATAAAGATCTTTTTTTGCAGATGATATAATTTTCTATATAAAAATACATAAGTTCAATAAAATATCCCTAGAACTATAAACAAGTTAATTAATGTCACAAAATGAAAGGTCAGAAAACAAAATTAAATTGCAGTTATAGATGAAATAAATCAACAATGAAAAATGAAATAAAAAATATATTTATAATAGCAATAAGCAGAAATGTTAAAGTTTTAAAAAGAAATACAAATATGTTATACTCTATTTTTTAATTCACAAAAATCATAGAACTGAATAAATTAACGTACATTAAATAATCAAGTTTTAAATCACCATTTTTAAGATTAGAATATCTCACAGGTTGATCTACAGATTCAACAAAATATCTTCAAAGTTTTAACTATTTCTAATGGAAATTGACAAGTTCTTCCCAAAAACAAATATAGATAAGCTGGGCTTGGTGGCTCATGCCTGTAAACCCAGTGCTTTGGGAGGCTGAGGTTGGAGGACTGCTTGAGGCCTGGAGTTGAAAACCAGCCTGGGCAACATAGGAAGGTACTGTGTCTACAAGGATAAAAAAATAAAATTAGCTGGATATGGAAGCGCATGCCTGTAGCCCCACCTACTTGGGAGGCTGAGGTGGTGGAATTGCTTGAGCACATGCGTTTGAGGTAACAGTGAGCTTTGATTGATCCACCTCACTCCAGCCTGAGTGGCAGAGTGAGACCCTGTCTCTAAAAAAAGATTTAAAAAACAATATAAATGTGCACAGAATACCAAATACACAAAACAGTTTTTAACAAGAAAAATAAAACAATTTATACTTTTTGATATGAATTCTTATTATCTAGGATAGATTCATGTAATTAATAGAATATATTTGAAGATGCAGCCGGGTGTGGTAGTTCATGTCTGTAATCCCAGCACTTTGGGAGGCTGAGGTGGGTGGATCACCTAAGGTCAGGAGTTCAAGACCAACCTGGCCAACATGGTGAAATTCCATCTCACTGACAAATACAAAAAAATTAGCCAGGCGTGGTGGTGCATACCTGTAATCCCAGCTACTTGGGAGGCTGAGGTAGGAGAATCACTTGAACCTGGGAGGTGGAAGTGGCAGTGAGCTGAGATCCCACCATTGCACTCCAGCCTGGGCAACAGAGCAAACGTCTCAGAAAAAAAAAAAAAAAAAAAAAAAAAAATCCATTTAAAAACACGTTCATTTATGGCAAATTAACATTCACAAAAGTTCCAAAAAATTTCAGTGTGGAAGAAACATCTTTTCCAAGAATGTTTCTAAGAAAATTGGCTATAAACATTTAAAATAAGAAGTCAGATCCCATCTCAAATCAAACACATACTGAAATACTTAATATGAGCTGTAAAGCTAAATGTAAGAGCTAAAATGACAACTTTTTTACAAGAAACACAGAAGTAATTTTTTATAATCTTGTATTCGATAATGATTATTTATTTTTTACATTTAGGTTTGTTTTATTTAAGTTTAATGTTAATTCCATGCTGTGTTTCAGTAAGAACAATACAGATTCTGTATCTGTGGCTCCAGTCAGATATCCAGTAGTACAAATTAGCTTCAAGTTACATATACTGAACAGAAGTGATTGAGCTAGCAGAGGGGAGGAGTGAGGGGAAGCAGGTAGGGGGAGGGAGAAGGAGTAGAAACAAATAATTGAACATGCATGCAGGCTTTTCCACACCACCTGCAACCCTAACCCGCTTCAGTGGGAGAGTAAAAGTAGGCAAGAATGAGCAGCCACGATTGTTGAACTGTTATTAGCACCATGCTTTTCAGCAACATTTCTGTAGAGTTTGAAAAACTTTTTACAGCAAAACCATTTCAAAACTCCCTCCCCAAACAATCTTTAACCATGTCAAGCTAACACCGAATTACTTTCAAACATTGGTATAAAATACGGTTTAAACAATTAGAAAAACGAAAAATGATACCACTTATGCCTCTATAGTGTGATTAACATCTTCCTTAGACGCTTGCGTCATCTAGAAGCATCACCTAATGGCTTTCAAACGTAATTTCCATTTCTAATGGTAATCTTGCCACATCTGGCACGGGGACAATACAGTAATGCTGAAAAAGCCTCTATGCAGTCCTGTTAGTGTCTTAAAGAACCTAAAAGTTGGGACCAGTAAAATCCACAGAAATTCACTCTTGCCTTTAAGAATTTTTGAAAACTGTTAAAAAAACAAAAACAAACAAAAAAGCAGGGCAGGAACCTAAATTCTGAGGCCAAATGTAAAAGTCAGATTTGGCGGTTCTTAGGGACAATGGGGAGTTTCCAAGGGACGGGATGGGGAAGAGTGGGGTGGTCAGGGATGGTTTCTCTTGTTGGTTTTTATGTCTCACTGATTTTCATCTTCCACGTCCTGCAGCGCTTCTTTATTCTGTTCTTCATCATCACCCTGCATGCCCGAAGTCCATAGTGTCCTTATAGCTTTCTTCACTCAGCATATCCAGTTCTGCAACTGTGTCATCAAAAGCTGCTTTTGCCAACCTGCAGGCATAGTCAGGGGAATTAAGAATTTCGTAGTAGAATACAGAAAAATTGAGAGCAAGACCTAAGTGAATAGGATGCGTTGGTGGAAGTTCTGTCATTGCAATATCACTAGCAGCTTTATAAGCCGCTAGGCTGTTCTCCACAGCCTCCTTCCTGTCATTTCCTGTGGCAAATTCTGCCAGATACCTGTGGTAGTCCCCTTTCATTTTATAATGGAAAACTTTGGACTCGCCAGTGTTAGCTGCTGGAATGAGGTTTTTGTCCAGTACATCCAGAACGTCACAGCAGAGTAACTTTAGCTCAGTCTCAATCATTTGCCGATATTCCCAAATCATTTTTAGCTTGTCTTCTCCTTCTTTTTCTTCTTTCTGTTCAATGCTGCTGATTATTCTCCAGGAGGCTCTTCTAGCTCCAATCACATTCTTATATGCAATAGATAGGAGGTTTATTTCTTCAACTGTCAGTTCCACATCCATCCCTGCTACTTTCTTCATTGATTACACCATTTCTTGGACGATACTGCGGGTTCAGTTCCAGAGCACGCTGTATTGCGCAGCCTGCTTGGCCAGCTTTGCCTGGTACCAAATCCCCTCGATCATCCACAGCAGCAGCCGCTCTTACAGGGTCTGCGAGACGGATGTAAGCGGATAGTGTCTCTGACTGTCGCTCCGCTGCTGGGCAGCAAAAATGGCGGCACCTCAATCAGGGACTTTGCCCTGCGCAGGCGGAAAACTGCTCAACTCTATGGCAACCGCTCCCTGGCAACTAATGATTTCTTAAAAAACACAACAAAAAAGCACAATCAAGAAGAAACTGATAAACTTCATCAAATTGAAAAAACATTTTTTTATACACCAAGAAGAATATGTAATCTAAGCTGCATAATGAGAGACAATATTTCAAATTATCTATCTTTTTAGGCTCTAGTATCTGGAATACAAACAAAACCAAAACAAACTCTTATATGTCAATAATAAAAGGACAAATTACCAATTAAAAACGGTCAAGGGACTTGAATATATGTTTCACCAAAGAAGATATACAAATTGCTAATATGAACATAAAAATATGCTCAATATATTTTGCTATTAGGAAAATAAAAATCAAATCACAATGAGATAACAATGAACAAACTATACTGGCTATAGCAAAGAGACAATAACAAGACAATAACAAGTGTCGACAAATGTGGAAAGTATGGAATTTCTATGCATTGCAGCTGGAAAGGCAAAATAATGCAGTCATTTTGTAAAACAATTTGGCAGTTCTTCAAAATTTTAAACACAGAATTGCCACATGGCCCTGAAGTATTTTTCCACACATGTATGCAAAGGAAATGAAAACCTAAGGCACACAAAGACTTGTATGTGAATGTTCATAGCAGCAATGTTTATAAGAGCCAAAGGGGAATACCATCGAAATATCCATCAGCCAGTAAAAAAATATGTGTCATATTTATGCAATAAAATCCTTAGCAATCAAAGGGAATTAAGCAATAATCCATGCTACATTGGAAATAAACCTCAAAAATAGTAAACGAAGTGAAACAAACTAGGTTTTAAAAAGACTACATAATTTATAATTCCACATATAAGAAGAGTCCATAAAAAGCTCATTGATAGACAGAAAATAAACTAATGGATGTCTAAGGCCTGGGTGATGGTGGAAAGTGAATGAAAACAAGACAGATTTTACTCAGGGATGATGAACATATTTTAAAGTTAGTTGTTATAATCTATATATAACTCTGTTAAAATATTAAAAACAGGCTGGGCGCGATGGCTCATGCCTGTAATCCTAGCACTTTGGGAGGCCCAGACAGGCAGATCATTTGAGGCCAGGATTTTGAGACCAGCCTGACCAACGTGGTGAAACACCCATCTCTACTAAAAGTACAAACAAATTAGCTGGGCGTAGTGACACATGCCTGTAGTTCCAGAGGCTCAGGTAGGAGAATCGCTTGAACTGGGAGGTAGAAGTTACAATGAGGCGATCCCACCACTGCACTCCAGACTGTGCGATGGAGCAAGACTCCGTCTCAAAAAATAAAATAAAATAAAATAAAAAATAAAACATTGATATTTACAATGAAAATGTCATTGTATTATATAAATTATATCCCATTAAAGCCTATCAAAAACAAGCATGCCATAAGTGTTAAAATAACTTCTGACTTTAGGCAACCCAAGTAACAGACTCTTAGCACCAAAGTTATTTCTGCTGATTTAATAAATATTAAAGAAAGAAGAAGAAGATACTTTAAATACCACAAGAGGACACAAGTGCAACCAAAAACATTATAGAGGTTACGTAAGCAAAAAGAAAACAGTTTTTAAGGAGTATTTATGGATAGGAACCACCTGGTTTTACTAGACTAGGAGAGTGAAGTGATTTACAGAAGAGTACTCTAACTCACAGATTGTTACAAATAAGTAATGATGTCATCATAGAATGAGGAAAAATTAAAAATTAATTATTAACTAAAAATATTTGGAGAAGCAATCTAACATAAAGTTGGTTGATGGCACCTGTCTCTGCAGTTAGAGTAGCCTATTGCTAATGCAAAAGCTGCACATTCATTGCTTCTTCAAAACCAGTCTTGATACCCAAATCTGATACTAATCTCTAAATTTATTACTATAATTTATGAGAAGATATTTGCCTATTTTTTATTACATAACGTGGCTAATGTTCAGTATTTGAAGGTTTTTATTAAAAATAACCTTAAATTTTTTATTTAAAACTCATTATGGAAATTAAAAATGTAAACAAAGATATAAAAATTATACAAAAATTCCTGAGTACCCATCACAAGGCTCCAGCCATTTTTTTTGTCTTTCATTTTCAATTATTAACTCCATTTTTTTTGTAAAATGTTAAAAGTAAATATAAAAATCTGTATTGTTAAATTTGTAGAAATTTTGTACCTCTAACAAAAAAAAAACAAAACAATGAAAATATTACTATGATTCCTCATAAACTTTTTTTTTTTTTGAGACAGAATTTTGCTCTGTTGCCCAGCCTGGAGTGCTGTGGCGCGATCTCAGCTCACTGCAACCTCCACCTCCCAGGTTCAAGGGATTCTCCTGCTTCAGCCTCCCAAGTAGCTGGGACTACAGGCACATGCCAACAAGCCCAGCTAATTTTTTGTACTTTTAGTAGAGATGGGGTTTCACTATGTTAGCCAGGATGGTGTTGAACTCCTGACCTCGTGTTTTGCCTGCCTCGGCCTCCCAAAGTGCTGGGATTACAAGTGTGAGCCACCACGCCTGGCCAAAAATATTTTTAAATATATATTTGTGTATATATTTATGGAATACATGAGATATGTTGATACGGACATGCAATATATAATAATTACATTTTGGAGAATGAAGTGTCCATCCTCTCAAGCATTTATTCTCTGCATTACAAATAATCCAATTATACTCTTAGATATATTAAAATGTGCAATTAAATTATTATTGACTATAGTCACCCTGTTGTGTTATATTAGGTCTTTTTCATTTGTTTTACTTTTTGTATTCATAAACTATCCCCACTTCTTCCCAACCCCCCACTCACCACCCTCCCCAGCCTGTAATAACCATCCTTCTACTCTCTATCTCCATGAGTTTAATTGTTTTAATTATTAGCTTCCACGAATAATTGAGAACATGTAATGTTTGCATTTCCTTTCCTGGCTTATTTAACTTATCATAATGACCTGCAACTCATATTATTGCAAAATGCTGGATCTTATTCTTCTTAATGGATATGTAGTATTCCATGGTGTATGTACCACATTTTCTTTATCTGGTCTTCTGTTGATGCACATTTAGGCTGATTCCATGATATTGCTATTGCAAATAATGTTGCAATGAACATGTGTGTATGTGTGTCTTTATGATAAAATAATTTATATTTATTTGGTTATGTACCCAATAATGAAATTGCTGGGTCAAATGCTGCTTCTGTTTGTAGTTCTTTGAGAAATCACCACAGTGCTTTCCACAATGTCTGGACTAATTTATATTCCCATCAGCAGTGTAAAAGCATTCCGTTTCCACTACAACTTTTGCAGCATGTTACTTTTTTGTTTGTTTGTTTTTGTTTTTGAGATGGAGTCTCGCTCTGTTGCCAGGCTGGAGTGCAGTGGCACAATCTCGGCTCACTGCACCCTCCATTTCCCAGGTTCAAGCGATCCTCCTGCCTCAGCCTCCCAAGCAGCTGGGACTACAGGCATGTGCTACCATGCCCAGCTAATTTTTGTATTTTTAGTAGAGATGGGGTTTCACCATGTTGGCCAGGATGGTCTTGAATTCCTGACCTCATGATCAGCCTGCCTTGGCCTCCCGAAGTGCTGGGATTACAGGTGTGAGCCACTGCACCCGGCAGCAGCATCTGTTACCTTTTAACTTTTTAATAATAACCTTTATAACTGGTGTGAGATGGTATTTTATCCACTATCTAATATTTTAAATAATGTGCAAAAAAGGAAACAAAACCAGGTTATTCAGTATCAACAGTAACAAAAATTACAGCATATCTGTACAACTTGGCATCAAAGAAATGTTACATTGCATGGTAGTTGTGAAAACATACATGTAGATAAAATATTTAAAAAAGGAAAGGGCTCAAGATGGTAAATTTGTGACATTGGATGTCAGTTCTCCTTAGAAAGAACAATATTGTGAACTATTAATTATACCTCCAATAGAATATCAAGGAAAGAACACTGGAACCTAATTGAGAACTCACAGAAAAAATCTGAGGAGCCAAAGGAAAAGGAAGCAAGAGGCCAGCTCAGCAGAGAGCTGCTAGGAACCTGGAGGGCCTCAGCATCGCTGAGGACAGGTAAGTGGGGAACGTTTCCAGCCTGCATTTCTCCTGTGGACTGCCACAGAGTTGTGGGAGAGCTCCTTTGTTCTCATGAACCCTGACACTAACACGGCTGTTGACTTCAAGAACTCTTGAGGGCATAGCACCAGACTGGGGACTCATACTATGCTACTCACTTTCCACTAAGATGCAAGTGGTTGTGTCAGGATGCCACTGGGAAAATACAGGTATCAGGGGACTGACTCCAGCCCTGGGAACCTCAGTTCCCCTATCTCTGCATCTCAGGAGCTGCCGCTGACATTGGCCAGTGCCAGCTTGGAGGGCTGCAGTGGCCCAGGGTTGGCTGGACCCAAGAATGATGCAGTTTCCCAGAAGTTTAGCCCTACAGAGTGCTGCTCCCGGGAAAGAGGAGAGTTCAGTGAACCAAGAAGGCAAAACTGGGACAAAAGAAAAAGCATTCTACTTTCAGAGTCCAAGAGCTGCCTGCTTGGGACTGAGAAAAGTAACTTTGCTCTCAACAAGTGCGAAAACTGTCCTCACACTGCAGATGAAGGGTGAAATGCCCTCCCACCAGTTGCACAGCCTCTGTGCAGTGGCTCAGGCACAGCAAATGAGACCCCTCTTTTCCCTTCGCACACCACTGCAGGCACAGCCTCTACTACTGCCACAGGAAGTTGGGGTAGGTGAGCATCTTGAGCTGTGAGTGGTGACTGCAACCCAACTGGCAGCATGGCCTTCAAGCCTAGGCTTAAAAAAAGGGTACAGGGCCCGGTGTGGTGGCTCATGCCTGTAATCCCAGCACTTTGGGAGGCTGAGGCGGGCGGATCACTTGAGGTCAGGAGTTCGAGACCAGCCTGGCCAATATGGTGAAACTCCGTCAATACTAAAAATACAAAAATTAGCTGGGCGTGGTGGCG